TTCCTGATCACTCCCTGGTATGGCCCAAGAACCATATGTATAGAAAGTAGTTGGGAGTGTGAAAAAGCCCTATGTGATGCTGTCTAGAAGAAACACATTTTAATTATAAAGATTCAAATAGATTAAAAGTAAGGGCATGGAGAAATACAAACCATGTAAATTCTATGTTAATGAAAGTCAGGAATTCTGAAATTATTTTTGACTAAGAAGATTTCAGATCTCAGGCTATTAATGATAATGCTATCCATTTTTTTTGACTTTTTTTTATTTATTGAATCACTGTGGGAAAGGTTACAAAGCTTTCAGGTTTATGTCTCAGTCATGCAAATATCAAACACATTTCCCTTTACCAATACTTATTTTTTACCATGAAGAACCCCAATAAAACCCCACCCCCCACCCCTCCCCGTCCCTGTGAGGCAGATGAATTCTAGTTAACACTCTATCTGCTTTGATTAGATTCATTGTTTCAATAAAAGATTCACCACTATTATTTAGAGTTTACCCCCCGCCCAAATCAGACATGCTGAAAAAGCATTGTGAAGTGATTTGCTTTCTACAGCTGGGTTCAAGAATTAAATGTTGGTTTTGGATTTCTGCTATTTTACCTATTGACCCTGGAAGAATTTCTACTGAAAGTCAGATAGTTAAGAAATTGGTTTCTGTGTTCTGGAGTCGTGGCCGTGCTGGAGAGCCGCTCGTGGGGGCAACTGGTGGCCTCGGTAGGGCGTGAAGGGTGGACCGAAATGCCCCCCTTCCCATGAGGTTTTAGTCGCCCCCACACTCCCGGCTCATACCTGCTGTCCACAAGGCTCCCATGTGGCCGCCATCTTTCTTTCCAGAGAGGAGAGGGCGAATGGGGCAACACCCTTTCCCCTCCAGCAGACTTGATGGCCTGGATCAACGCATAGTCTGTTCACTTTTATGCTCCAAGCTGCTGGGTTCTGCATTAAGTCCTTGTGCTTCTGGGGCTGTGGCTGTGCTGGAGAGCCGCTCGCGGGGGGCGACTGGTGACCTCGGTAGGGCGTGAAGGACGGACCGGAACGCCCCCCTTCCCATGAGGTTTTACTCACCCCCACACCCCCGGCTCATACCTGCTGTCCACAAGGCTCCCATGTGGCTGCCATCTTTCTTTCCAGAGGGAGGAGGGCGGAAGGGAGCAACACCCTTTCCCCTCTGGGCAGAAATGATTGCCTGGATTAACGCATAGTCCTTTCACTTTTCTGCTCCAAGCTGCTGGGTTCTGCATTAAGCCCTTGTGCTTCTGGGGCTGTGGCCGTGCTGGAGAGCCGCTCGTGGGGGGCAACTGGTGACCTCGGTAGGGCGTGAAGGACGGACTGGAACGCCCCCCTTCCCATGAGATTTTAGTCGCCCCCACACCCCCGGCTCATACCTGCTGTCCACAAGGCTCCCATGCGGCCGCCATCCTTCTTTCCAGAGAAGAGAGGGCGAATGGGGCAACACCCTTTCCCCTCCGGCAGACTTGATGGCCTGGATTAACGCATAGTCCTTTCACTTTTCTGCTCCAAGCTGCTGGGTTCTGCATTAAGTCCTTGTGCTTCTGGGGCTGTGGCCATGCTGGAGAGCCGCTCGTGGGGGGCAACTGGTGACCTCGGTAGGGCGTGAAGGACGGACCGGAACGCCCCCCTTCCCATGAGGTTTTAGTCGCCCCCACACCGCCGGCTCATACCTGCTGTCCGCAAGGCTCCCATGCAGCCGCCATCCTTCTTTCCAGAGAAGAGAGGGCGAATGGGGCAACAGCTATCCATTTTTTAAAGTTAATTTTCCAAGAAGATAGGATAATCCTGTATGTGTTTGGATTATTCTGACAGAGAGAAAATAAAATTCATTTGGCAAGAAGGAACAGAAAGAATGAGAGGGGAAATGGAGTACGTGGTGTTATTAGCCTTCATGGGAATTTTCTTCTAGTCAGATCAATTCAAGTGTGAGTGCTACAGCATTTGTAATTTTTAAAATAGAGGACAGGTGGGAGGGATATGGGATCCGGATACGGGACCTGTGGTGGTGGGAAACAGGCACTGGTAGAGGGATGGGTATTTGATCATTGTATAATTGAAACCCAAACACAAAAATTTGTAAGTCTACAACTGTACCTCATGATGTCTCACTAATAAAAATAAAATAAAATAAAATAAAATAGAGGAGAGGGGCAGAGTGACAGTGAGATTCCTGAAGGAAACTGGCTGTGAGTGGAGCAGCAAATGCTGCGTGAGCCCCAGTGTGGCCTGCTGGATTTGGGGAGACTGGACAGTGGGTTTCACTAAGGCTGTGCAGAAAAGCCAGTTTTCGAGTGGGGGACTTTTAATGCAGTGGTCCAGGCCCGGCTTCCTGTGGCCAGGTGAGTGGGGATGGAAGCAGCTGCACTCCGGGGCGCCCTGTCCAGATCCGGAGTTTTCTGAAAACACAGTCCTTCGACTTCTCCCAAAACACACTTGCTGTTGATAATCAGCACTTTCTTAGGCCTGAGGAATTTGTCACTGTCACTGTCCTCCCGTTGTTCATCGATTTGCTCAGGCGGGCCCAGTAACATCTCCATTGCGAGACTTGTTGTTACTGTGTTTGGCACAGGTAACTTGCCAGGCTTTGCCATGCGGGCGGGATACTTTCAGTACCTTGCCAGGCTTTGCCATGCAGGCGGGATACTTTAGGTAGCTTGCCAGGCTCTCCAAGAGGGGCGGAGTAATTGAACCCGGGTTGGTCCGGTCAGCTACGCACAAGGCAAACGCCCTACCGCTGTGCTATCACTCCAGTCCCCGAGAAATTACAACTGGTATATTTTGCCTGCAAAAGAGGAAAATACAGCCTCCTCCCTTAAAAGCCGAGTCCAGCAGCCCAGGTTGGGGGCAAATCTGCAGGACAAAGGGGAACCAGACAAGCCTCCAGGTGCTGCTTGTTGGCATTTCTCTCATTATAGCCCGAGCACTTTTCCAGACAGCAGACTTGGGTTCAACGTTATTTCATGGGAAAAAAAATTCAACGTGCGTGAATTATCTGGAACCCTTTAAAACAGATTCCTCAGATTTATTCTTGGGCTTCCAAAAAAACTGTCCTTCTAAAAAGCTTCTAAGCTATGCCACCCTATTTTCCCAGTACACTCAGCCATAGGCAAACCCGGGAGAAATCTCCACTGGTGTTCACAGCAGGAAAATATTCTGGATTCTTGGACACAGGGGGAGGTTACCTGCACCGGTGTGAAGGGATGCTGGGACCCAGCTCAGGGCTCTTGTGCATTTGGGCTAAGAGCAACCAGTCAGAGAGAAGCCTTAGTTAGGCCAGACAGGGACAGTTTGTTTCCGAAAGGTCATAGCACTTGTTCAAGACCACAGAAGCCGGTCAGCTGTTTGGCCAGGATTCTAGCCTGGCTTTCTGCTCAGCACCCATTCTTGCCACCCCTCAATTTTTCTTCGGTTCTTCAGGACTTCTGTCGTTCTCTGCAAATTTTGCTAGGAATATTGTCTTTAATCTGTAGACTTGCTTTATCTCAGATAATCATTTCAATGATGCTAATTTTTCAGGCCCACAAATACAGATTATCTTTCCATTTCTATGTGTCATCCTTGCCTCTTAGTGGCATCTTACAGTTTTCAGTTTTCAGGAAGGATGACATGACAGAAAACATGGGACAAGGGTCATCGGTGAAGCTGGGATGGAAAACCAGGCTAATGCAAGATCTTATCAACTGTGTTTGGGGCTGGGGTGGAGCCTCGGGCCTCAGACATTACAAAGCATATGTTCTCCCTATTGGGCAGCATTCCTGGCCAAGACAACTTTTAAAAAATTATTTTTTCATTGGTTTATCCTCTATTGGGGTCTACGTGGTACAACTCACAAAACAACCTTTCTTGTTTCTCCCATACCACTGTTCCCTCTGTTTCCCTCTGGTAAAATAATCTTTTTCATTGATGCTAGAAGTTATTTTTGTTGTTTTTCTTCCAATTCATTGCTTAGTTATTATATTCCACATATAAGTGAAATCATCAGTAATCGTGTTTCAATACATCTGCTGTTGAGGTTCTGAAGTGTATCAGCAATGTTTTCTTCTATACGCTATACGGTTTGCATCTAATAACTAAGTTTTTGTCCCTTGGAGTTCTCCTTCATGTATGGAATTAAATTGTGATGCCATTTGTTGAAGAGATTTTCCTGTCTCCGCCGTACAGTTCTGGCTTCTTTATTATCTATTCATTTTCCATCTCTGTGTGTGAAGTTTTTCTGGGCTCTCTTTCTCTTAAATCAATTCGTTTTGTTCCAGCACTACATTGATGATGTAAGGTTGTATAAGTCAACAATGTAATGTCTCGACTTTTATCTCAGTCTTTCTTTGGTTCTTCAGGACTTTTTTTGGTTCTTTGCAAACTTTGCTAGGAATATTGTCTAAATATTGTCTAATATTGTCTATCAACTATAGGGTTGATTTAAGGTTAGGTTTTCAGATAATAATGTAAATTCTTATTTTTCTGACCCACAAATATAGATTATCTTTCTATTTCTATAGGTCATCATTTTCTTTTAGAAGCATCATACAGTTTTCAATGTACAGGTCTCTCACCTTCTTTGTTAGGACTGATTGTCAGTTATTTTATGTTTTGCTGTGATGAAAAATGATTATTTTCTTTCCGCCATTTCACTGTTTGCATGTAGAAATGTAACTGATGTTTATGTACTCAATTTGTACCTTGATACTTGTAAAGGAATATTTTGAGGTGTCTTTAGGGTTTTCTAGAATACTGTTGGTTACTGTCATTCCTTGTTAAATAGCAGTAGTTCTCTATTTCCTTTGCAATTTGGATTCCTTCCCTGGCTAATTCCTTCCCTTTGCTAATTGTTCTGGTTAGGACCTGCACAATTTTGTTGCAAATAGCGATCATCTGAATGGGCTTCCTTGTATCTGTTCCAGAACTTCCAACCACTGACACTTGGTAGAGAGTTCCTGCTGGGGAAAGGAGGATTGTCTCTGGAGGGAATTAGAGCAGAGGCAGTATGGGGCAGCACTTTTTACACTGACGACAAGAGACAGACTAGGTAGCTGTCAGGCATGAAGACACACTGAAGTGGACGGGGCCCTGGCCAGTGCGTTCAGAGCGCAAAGACGGCCACATCCACCGAAGACTTCAGGAAAGCAGCGGCAGCTTCCACAAGTGTTTGCAGGACAGAGCCTGTGTTGAAAAAACAAGATTTGGGTCTCTGGGGGTCAGAGCGATAGACAATGTGTGCAGGGCAGTGTCCTTGCATGTGGCCAACCCAGGATCAATCCCTGAGACCCTTATGATCCCCCAAGCCCCACCAGGAGTGACTCCTGAGAACCAACAAGTGTGACCCAAATAACAAAAAAAAAGTTGAGCTTCTGGGATAAACATGGCAACAACCACTCTACTCCCCATCTCCCCTAAGCCTCCCTTGTCATCCCTGGCTTCTCCAGTCCCCACAATGCTCAGCTGTGGTGCCATAGCTAGCAGCCCTGCAGACAGAATCCTGTTCTGGTGTGGCTGACACTGATATGGGGAGAACAGATGTATTTCCCCCCCCCCCACCCGCCTGCTTCTCTCCAAGCAGCAGGGGTCCTGGGACTATGCTCCTACCTGTGTGGTTGTGAATCCAGGCCACCGCCTTCCTTTCCAGAAGCTCCCACTCACACTTCCGCCCCTGACCGTTGGTGTGCAGCCAGGTCACTGCCAGAACTGTGGCCCAGCAGGAAGGCTCCACATCCTGCGTGACAAACAGACTTCGCTGGAGCTCTTGGCCCTCCATGACTCCCTCCCGTTTCCACATAGAATTTTCTGATCATTTTATCATAGGGGTGCCACAATGCCAGGCCTGAGCCTCAACCTCAAGGCAGCAGACCTCTGCTCTTGGCATTTTCAGTTTTTAGTGTCAGGTAACTGCTCCATAAAATTAATTCTATCAGGAGTAATTGGCGGGGGAAGTAGAAGTGTTCTACTCCCTTCCTTTAGCCCTTAAATCATTGGCTCCTACCGGACCACTAGCTACTTGTCCTTTCTGCTCTAATTTACCCATTAGCCTCTACTTTGAGGAAATTTATTAATCCTGGCTCTGCACTCAGTAATCACTCCTGGTGGTGCTGGGGGACCCTATGGGATGCCAGGAATTGAATCCAGATTGGCCATGTGCTAGACAAGTGCCCTCCCAGTTGTGTTCCAGTCCATACTTTGCAGAAATTTAGACCCTGTTCTTGAATGCTCTCCTTGCTCGGGTGGGCTGTGACTCACCCCAATTCTCATTTCTGACCCAGTCTTCCCAAAAACACAATCACTCCACCTCCACCTTCTCAGAATCTTACCTTGACAGTCAGTGCCGCCATCATGTCCGGAAGACTCACCCCAAGAATAGTGGCCAGCTGGTCATCTAGCTCCCAGGAGCCATTGGCCCTCTGGAGGATGACCAGCTTCAGGAGCTGATCAGTCTCAGGTACTGTGGGGAGGGAGAGAGCAGGGTGAGAGTTAGGAGGCCTGGCTGACACAGATTGGGCTCAAGTGGGCACCCCATGTTGGCGCCAACACTGCAAGCTGTGCTCTCACCATTGGGTGCCAACTGAAAGCTAATACGACTTTGTGGCAACAATGACCATTTCTGGCAGAACACAACGGGGCCAGCCTTTCAGCTAGAGCCTCATTTTAGCCTTTCCACAGGGAGTACCTCATTGGGACTCTAGAGCCTCCCATGGTGTGTGGTATTCAGGGAACCCACAGGACAATGCTTGGGGGAATCCCACTCAGAGCAGTCAGGGATTCTGGTATCTTAAATTTCTAGAGAAATAGAGTCTCAATATCAGGACATCCAACAAGGGACTGAAGAGACAGCAGGGAAGGTGCCACCCTTGCAAATGGCCAGTCCGAGTTCAGTGTCTGGCATCACATGGCCCTCTGAGCAGTGCTAGGAATAACCCTATGTGCAGAGCCAGGAATAATCCCTGGTCAGAGCCGGGTGTGGCCCCAAGAACAAACAAATGAAAAAAAATTTTTTGCAAGGAATGTAGATTCAAAGGAAACCCTCTGCATAATCTGTGAAAAAAAACACACATGAAAATTGCTTCGTTTTTATAGAAACTCACATCTTATTATCAAACGGGATAATGGAGTGACATAGAAATCAGTAGGCAAGAAAAATCAAAAGGATCTTTACAGCACACAGCCACAGAGAAGAAAGGCCGTAGGGGCGCTCCATAGCTCCCGGAGAAAAACATGATTCACCAGGTCCCAAAGAGAGCCAAGATCACCGGGAAGTCCCAGATGGGGTAGGTGCCACATCCCGCCTCCTCCAGATGGAACCCTGGTGACCATGAGCCTCTACAAGCATAGCTCAAGTATGCGGGAACCAGGACTTTTACTCCAAACCGCACAGCCGCGTATGCGGCCATGCAACATCTCCCTATATGCAAGGTGTTCAATGGAAAGTAAATCATCCAACGTTTCTCCCTGAAAACGTGGCTTAACTCTTATACAGGACACAACACCCAATAGGAGAGAGAGAACAAAAGGGAATGCCCTGTCACAGAGGCAGGGTGGGCGGGAGGCGGGGGCGGGAGGGATACTGGGATCCGAGTTGGTCAGAAATGGTCACTGGTGGAGGGATGGGTATTCAAAATAAATTAATTAATAATAAAAAAATTTAAAGAAAAGAAAAATGAAAAGAAGAAAAACACTTCTCTCACGGGGAAAGAAACTGCTCTGAAGTAAACTTTTCTCTATTTGTTTTGGGGCCACAACCACTGCGGCTCAGGGTGTTGGGCTTGAAAGTGGGTCAGCCTAGGGCCAAGCCAATGCCCAGACCTATCTCCCGGGCCCCTAAAGTCAACTGCCTTAATTTAATTAAATCTCAGCTGTTACTCAAAATGTCATCATCTGTAAGAATCACCACTTTGTAGTTGGGGACAATTAAGACTGGTTCTGAGAAGGATGTACAGGACCTAGACTGGTCCTCTCCAAACAGTGGCACAAAACGATCCACCACATCAGTGAGCCCATTCAGAGGACACAGAGTGGGTGCTTAAGTGACCAGGCTCTCAGAAAGGCGTTGTCCAGGGCCTGGCTGGGCTGAGAGGACTAGGAAGGCTTGGTGAGTCTCACCTTGTGCATCTTCCAGTTCTTGTGCTTCTGACTCGTCTTTCGACTGATTTCTTCCTAGACGAGGCATAACATATTCCTCTTCCGACAATCTCGCAGAGGCTTGCATGCGGGGTCTCTTCATGGATAAACAGCTAGTCCTTTTACACACTGGAGTAAAACATGATTTACGTGAACTCTTAAAGATGCCAAAATGAGGCTGTGGTGAGGGGGTTGTGTGAAGGGAAGACATTGGTGAGAAAATTCCTTGGAAAGTTGCTCCCCTGGGCAGTCCATTTGTAGTCCTGGGTATTCGATGGGATAGAGCCCACCCATCCAAAATAAACAGCCCCCATCCATGGCAGCCTCTGTTCCCTTTCTCGCACCCTAAGCACAGGGGAGCTCATCCCACAGTGCTCTCTGGAATATGTGACTCATGATGGGAAACTTCTTTGAGCAGTTTATCTTAATTTCAAACTAAATCTTCTGTCATCAACACTGTGCCCCCCAGCACATTGCCGTGTGTGGCCTTGAAGCTGAGACTTCTCTCATCATGAGGTATGGCATGAAAAGAGGCTTTGAAACTCAGGCAGATCACCTTTGCCAACACGAATCCCCTTGTGAACACAAAGTCTGTTTCTTCAGTTGTCTAATTCAGAGGTGTTCTACCTCGGAGCACCTAGCCTTTCTTCTTTGTTCTTGACTTTGCCCCACTCCCATCAGGATCTTCAGTGTCAGGAATCTTCAGTTGCTAGATTCCTTTCCCTCTCATGCACCCAGACAAACCCCAAGTGTGAGTTACGTGAGCCAACGCTCGGCTACGTTCTCACCACGAACTGCGCCAGAGAAAGGCTAGAATCATAGGACCCTGTGAGGGGCCTGTGTCCGCAGCTGCTCATCCAACTCTGCCTCAGAAAACCTGCTGCCATTTTGAAATCCGACTCAGTCACTCAGACTGTCAGAATCACAAAAGCTTTTGCCTGCATCTAAGAATTAATTTCAAGCTTTTTGTTGGATGGGTGGGGGCTAGGAGGTGGAGAGGCTGTCCTAAGTCTCATAAGCAGACCCTGGCCTGGACCTCACCCTCTCTTCTTCATCAGCTTCCTTCTGGTCACCAGCAGTTTGAACCCTCTGTGGGGACATTCCTATTAACAGTATACAGAGCCAAGACACACAACTTGCAGCCCTGTCTCCAGGTGAGTAAGCGTGCCTACTCCTTTTCAGTTTCCCACCACTCATTGACGGTCGGACTAGAGATTTCTTCTTGATCTGAGCCAAATGGCTCGATTAGATTAGCAAGGGCCTTTGAAAAATAACGATTATGATTACTATGATTATTAATTATCTGGATAGGAGCGATAGCATAGAGGGTAGGGCATTTGTCTTGCATGCAGCCAACCTGGGTTCTATTCTTCCGCCCTTCTCGGAGAGACGGCAAGCTACCAAGAGTTATTCCGCCCACTCGGAAAAGCCTGGAAAGCTACCCGTGACATATTCAATATGCCAAAAACAGTAACAACAAGTCTCAAAATGGAGACATTACTGGTGCCCGCGAAAGAAAATTGATGAACAAGGGGAGGACAGTGCTGCAGTGCTACAGTGCTATTAACGACTTGACCATTTTCAGAGCCTACTGCTGGCTCTTCGGCAGAGCCTGGCAAGCTACCCATGGAATATTCGATATGCCAACAACAGTAACAATAATGGGTCTCATTTCCCTGACCCGGAAAGAGCCTCCAAAACAGCAGCGCTGGGAAAGAGAAGTAAGGAGAGGCTGCTAAAATCTCAGGGCTGGGACGAATGGAGACGTTTTGGGGCCTGCTCGAGTAAATCAATGAATAACAGGAGGACAGTGATACACTGATACAGTGATGATTATTAACCAATAATCCACCCCACCTTTGACTTCTCTGTAGAATCTGATTCTTTTGCCCCTTTGTTCTATCACAGATCTCCTTCTACTGTGAATATTCACCCACTTTTCTTTCCACTCTCACCCTTTTTTCTTGGGAAGGGGGTGGAGGGGTTGCATTACACTTAGCATTGTCTAAGGGATCTCCAGAGATCCAACAGTTATATTCCCAAAAATGTCTAATGAACTGCCAGGGAGAAAATCAGACCCATCCAAATGTAAGAACATCCTTACGTCTCTCTATGTATAAAATAAATAGCCTATATTTTTCCCCACTATGTTTCTGGCCCCACAGTCCTTGGAGACCCCTTCCTAGCGATGATATATTTTCTACCTTTTCATCTCACTTTATACTTTCCCTCTGAATAGTTTCTTTCATCCATATGACTAGTCATGGTATATAGGATCAAATATTTATCTTCATTCCTGACTGCTCTTCCAATGCCAAACACATCTGTCTACAGTTCATATGGATATTCCATAAGCATTTTCAATTAAAAATGTTCAAAAAGAATTCAATATAGGAGTCTTTAAACTCCAATATTGAGGGGAAGGAGGGTATGCCTGGGTTAGCCACATGCAAGGCAAGTGCAAATTCCCTGTATTGTCACTCCACCACCCCGCTTCCCCCCACCCTCACACACGAACACACACACACACACACACACACACACACACAAACTAACACACTGTTAAACTCAAATTGGTACCATTATGTGCCCAATCTAGCCTTTCCTTGCTAGAAAAAACATTACCCAACCTAAGGATCCCACCTAGGGAATTTCTCACTTGATATGAGTCCCCAGGGACCTGTCCTGGCACCATCCTGGAGGTTGGCACATTCTCTTCCCTCTGCCACCAGACTACTCATTGTTAACCAGCTTCAGATTTATACTACGTGACAACTCAGTGGTTTATCATTTGTGTGTGTGCTCTCTGCTTTCATGCTCTCTAGAAAAAAAAAAAGGCTTTTGTGCCAGCCAGGAATCCTAACTGCAAGGCAGCGAAGAGGCAATGCGATTGAAGAGCTTTCAGAAGCTCTCATGAAATGATATGCCATCCAAGACCCCAAGTCCATCTGAGTCTGCATGGGATCAAACTCACCGGATAAACAGCGCTTTGGTCCAGGTGAGTATGATAGTGGGGTGGGGCACAGAAAGAGCACTGACGTCGGGATGTTCCTTTGAGCCAGAGGCCCCTGAACTGGCTGGTTGAGGGCCTTGTCGATGGCGATGAAAGCAGTGTGGGAGCTCATGACTCCACACTCCAGGCTGGCTTGGACGATGGTTTTCACATCTGCCTCGTCCGTTCCCCAGCGGCCCATGTCCTTGGCCTGGATGAAGGCCTTGGCAGCCAGGCGGTGGACAGTGAAGCTGAAAGGAAAACATGGCTGTAGAGTCGGGGACAGAGATGGTGGGACAGACGGAAGAGGGAAGGAGAGGGGCGTTCTCACTTGGGGTCCAACTGGCTTTGTAGAGGAAACGTCACCTTATTCTCCACACTCTTGCCTTGGAATGTGTACTTGAAGCAAACCTTGCCCGTTACCTCCACTGACTACAAGAGAGAAGAGCGGGAATGGTGTTGGAGACAGAGCAGCTTCCCAGCCCTGATGCACAAATGTTCGTGAGGAGAAATCAAGGACTAGGCATGAGGGTGTAAGCCAGGAAGCAATGGTTGCCACTTCCTGGCAACTGGGCCCCCACCACCACCACCCCTTCCTTGCACCGGCCTGGAAACTCACCGGCATGGTCCCCAACAACTGGGCATAGATGATTAACCGCTGGCCCTGAAAGACGGAAGTCTCTGGTGGAGAAAGCAACTGAGCAGACAGTCCAGAGGGCAGATCCCAGCTCAGAGAGACCCCCTCGACAGTGGGCTGCAGAGCACGTTTCAGGGACCTCAGGGCCTGGTGGGAGAAAGAGCAGCAGCAGAGAAAATAGAGCCAGAGTTATCCCCTTGGCCTTTATTCTACACCAGAGCCCTAAAGCAAATGAGACACCAACATCATCACTCTGGCTTTCCAAGCACAGAAGTCGAAGCCGCAGTCCTGAGAGCAGGAGGAAAGGAGGTACCAGAGCAGTTTAGTTTCTCAGTTTCTCAGCCTTTATCTCTGATTGCAGCCCCCAAGCCCTGAATTAGAACCTTGGGGACTAATACAGAGGTGGGAAATCAGAAGGAGACACCTCCTCCAATCTCCCCAGGTCTTCCCTTGAGTGAGTTTTACCAAAAGTCAAGCTGTGCCCAGATGCCCTGAATTTAAAGGATTCCTTCTCCTGCCAATGGGCTATAAAAGGAGTTATTCAAAGAATGCTCCAACCCTCTTGTTCGGACTGCTTGGTGTCGCTGCCATTTCCCTAGGCCCTGGGAACATGTGAACCCTGTTGAAGGAGAGGAGCGTTCCCACAGAGTTTATGGGGTATCCGGGGGAACCCTGAAGGAGAACACACACAGCCCCTACCTTGGACTGCATCCTGTCTTTGCCCGTGATAAACTCTGCAGCGCCCCCAGACGCCCGGGCGATGCCTTTTATGAGGCTGGTGGAGGCACCTTCACCAATGCCAAATGAGAAACACCTGTAATAGGCAAAGGTCAGCGGTCAGAGGCAGGCCCTAGGGGGAATCATCGGAACCAAACATGTTCCAGAATACTTGTAGGAGGGGCTGGAACAATAGTACAGCGGGTAGGACATTTCATTTGCACATGACCAACCGACATCCCATATGGTCTCCTGAGCACCTGCCAGGAGTGATTCCTGAGTGCAGAGCCAGGAGTAACCCTTGAGTCTCATTGGGTGTGACCCAAAATATGGAAAAAAAACCCCTAAAGGTGGTTCACTTTCCGGACTCGAGGCTTAACAGAACCCCTGAACGAGCTTCTTCTGTTCTCAGAATGTATTTCCTGTGTAACTTAACATCTTCATGGAGGCCCCAAAAGGCAGACTCCATTCCACAGAGAAGAGAGGATCAACTCACGGAAAAAACTCATGCAGGCCCACACACCTGCTAGAAACTGTGGGCTGACCACTCCTGCAGTTGAGACTTCTGACTGCTGTGCCTTTGGGGGATGTTTTACTTTAACTAGCATGTTTAAGGTTTCTTGGGATTTTTTTTAAGTCGTATTATTTATAGCACAGCGGGTAGGGCGTTCGCCTTACACGCGGCCAACGTGGCCGACCCGAGTTCGATTCCTCCGCCCCTCTCGGAGAGCCCGGCAAGCTACCGAGAATATTCGATATGCCAGACACAGTAACAACAAAGTCTCCAATGGAGACGTTACTGGGCCCGCTCGAGCAAATCGGCGATCAACGGGAGGGCCTTTACCTTTATCTTACCTTTATTTATTTATTCCCTAGTGGATTCACAGGAGCTTGGGGTGATGACTGGGTTGTATGGTTGTTGCTGGTCTCAGCGAGAAGTCACCTTCTCTTCTTACCTGTGCTTTGGGCTGTTTTTTCTGACTTCCTCAATGACCCTGGATGTGTCAGTAACTTCTCCATCTGTGAAGACAAAGAGCTGCATGGCGGGGGGGGGGGGTGGGGGGGGGGGGGAAGGGCTCGTAAGTCCTCTGGTGCTAAGGAAGTTCAGGGATGTGGGTTTCCTTCTCCACCTGTTTACCTGGAGAGGGTGGTCTGGGATGGAAGGCGCTTGGTAAATAATCTGGAGTGGGTTCAGGATCTCCGTGCCCCCCAGGTTGGCTTTCAAAAGCTTCACTCTATTCAGTGCTTCCTCCATGGTCTTCTGCGTGTACTCCACACTCTTACTGAGAAAAACACCCGTCAGATCAGCTGGTCCCTGACCTCAGATGCCTCCTGCTCCTGAACACCCATTCTTGAAATCCCAATCAGTTCTGGAGTAGCCCCTGACTTGGATAGTAGCCAAGTCCTGCCCCCCCTCTCGTTTATGGGCCACTCCTTGTCCTGTTCTCTTCACTTACTCCTGGCTGGGTTGGCCACGTACAAGGCAAGCTCCTTCTCTTCTATACTATCTCTCCAGGCCCCCTTCAAACTCTCTTTTTTAGACACGCTGTGGCCTTTCTAGAAACTTACTTAAAGAATGTTTCATAGGAAGATCCAAATCCATGGATATTGAAGTAACACCCCAAGGGCAAACTCTTCAGCAGCAAGATCAGTGTTTCCTAAAGGAAGAGAACATGGGGGCGACAGGTAGAGCCGGGTCATTTCAGAAATGTTTGCTGCTCAAAAGGCAATTCCTGCGGGCCAGCCTTCACCACCTCTGGGGACCAGACCGTGTGATACAAAGCTTCGGAATGGTTGTACAAGCTGTAGCTTATATGTTCCACAGACCCCAATTTGGCCCCTGAGATTTATTCTTCCTTGAGCATGTGAAGAAGAAAGAAATAGCTTTACCTTGGCTGCCTCAATGCGTGACTGAGGTGAATCCTTATTCATAGGGCAATCCATGCTCCCTGAACGGTCCATGAGGAAGACAAATTCTCCACAGGCTTTTGAGGGCTGAGTCTTTGGGATATCTGGGTAGAAACTCATCATTGCAGATGGAGCTCCCATCAGAGAATCTACTTGGAAAGTAGAGGGGCACCATAAGACACAAAGGAACTCAAGACCCCTCAAGGCCTCCCAGAGTCAATGGTCATTTGTCACGCAAAGAGCTAAGGGAACGAATCTGAAAACACGGCCTGAGCTTATGGTCTATCTGTGGGCAGGTAGTTTGAGAAGAGTGATATAAATAGGAGGCAGAAAAGAGAAACAGACAAACAGGAAAGACTCAAGAACACAGGACACTGGGTACGTGCAGAACTAGAGCATCTTAACTACAGGTAACCTTCCTATCAGTCGAGCAAATGAGGAAAACACATTACACAAGAAAATAAAGTTGGAAGAGTTGAACTAAAATTTGTCCAATTTATATTGGATGACATTAACAAGCATCTGAGGTCTCCAAGCTACTCGGTTTGGAACTGGGCCTTCTCCACCCAAACCCCCCATCTTCCAGTAGGTAGGCATCACACCCAGCAGCTGCCGCCAGCGCCAGGTTGGTCCCATCAATGGCCAAGACACCGAGACTATAAAACCCAGCTCCTGGAAGCTTGCTGCCGCGACCTCTTATTATTTTGTTTTTCCTTTGGAGAACCTGGCAAAAGTATCCTGCCCACACGGTAGAGTCTTGCAAACTTCCCGTGTCATACTCAATATGCCAAATACCAGTAACAATGATGGGTCTCATTCTCCTAATCCTGAAAGAGCATTGAAATGGCTCTTTTAAAATCTCAGGGCTAGGAAGAAGGAGACCTTACTGGTGCCTGCACAGGGAAATCGACGAAGAACAGGATTATCCTGATTGTGATCCTGCCTTTAACAAATCATCATGAACAATTTCGTAAAACACTGTTTATATAGTATAAGGGATAAAATTTACATATATAGGCCTTATTGTTCCTTTTAAACTCAAATATATATTAGCAGAATTGCTTTAAAAGTGTTATTAATGATAGGTGAGACATGATTATTGCCATAGTGAGATCCAAATATAAAATAAAACTTAATGTAATATACTATAGATTCCAGAGTTGAAAATGTCCATATATAAATGAGAATTGACATTTCTTTATATTGTACTAAATGGTTTTAATTTATGTACATAGATCAAAATCACACAGTAATCACTAAATGGACCTTACTGATTTATTTTTATAATTATTTAATTTTTCAATTCTTCAAGTTTGTTTGCTCGAGCGGGCCCAGTAACGTCTCCATTGGAGACTTTGTTGTTACTGTGTCTGGCATATCGAATACTCTCGGTAGCTTGCCGGGCTCTCCGAGAGGGGCAGAGGAATCGAACTCGGGTCAAGTTTGTTTGGAATAAGCAATATAAGGTAAATTTGCTTATGTGCCTATGGGGGCAAGTTGGGATTGGGAGGGAAACTGGGGATATTGGTGGAGAGAAGAACACACTGGCGGGGTTGGAACACTAAATGCTTGAAACAACTGTATGATAAACAACTTTGTAAATCACAATGTTTTTAATAAAATTAATTTAAAAAATTTGTTCAACTTCTTCTCTTAGCATTCTTTGAAAGTCTCCTTCCCCCATTTTATTTAGGCTGTCAATGTATGTTAATTTAGTGACAATACCTTTACTAAATTACGAGTCATATTGATTTATCACTGATAAAATATTATGAGTCAGTATGATTGCTGTAAGATTTTGGTCACTCATTTGGTCAATCTTTGATATTAAAATGGCAGAGAAAATCTTCAGTGCATATTTTACTTAGATTTAGTTTGACAGGTAAGATTCTCCAAAGAAAACTTAACCAAGTAATTATTTTGACACATATGAACAAATTATGTTTGCATCAAGCAGATCACTAATGTGACAATGCCCCAGAGGGCCAAGGAGCGAACTTTAGATAATTCTGTGAAAATGTCACACATTCCTTTGTGTTTGTCAAAACTGATCTTTGTCACATGTTTGTAAATAGATTTATCACTTACAAAGTATGCTGGGTAAAGGAAAGAGGTGTGGGTGGTTACAGGGCAGGGTGTTCCCCACAGGAAGAAGGGAAATACCAGGTTTGGCGTTGGGTTCTCCCATTTCCAAGGTCACATTGGGGGTATGCACTTCCTGGTAGTAGATCAGTAGTTCCACATCTCGGTCAAACTTGTGACCATCAGCCAGGGAAACCTGAGGCGGGAGAGGACCAAAGGTCACACAGGACCCTCTCTGATCACTTAGGGCGGTGGTGGGTGCTGAGGGCAATGAGCTTCTTCCCCTCATTAGTAAGGGGATAGAAGAAACTCTAGGGGGCGTGGATCGATAGTACAGTGTGTAGGGTGTCTGCTTTGCACTCAGACAACCTGAGTTCAATCCCTGGCATCCCATAGGGTTCCCCAGGCATCGCCAGGAGTAATTTCTGAGTGCAGAGTCAGTAACCCCTGAGCATCACTGGGTTGTGACCCCCACCATCCCAAAAATAGGAAACTTCCAGGAAAGTCTGAGGATCTGGATCAGGACCCAGGACTGGCCCAGACCCAGCGCTGCCCCAAGTGAGCCCGACACAACCTACCTCAGCAGAAGTTCTATCATTCCCAAGGTACTTGGTGGCATTTAAAGAGCAGTTCGACTGGATCTTGTCAATGGTGTGCTGGGAGCGGACGGAGGCAGCCAGGCTGAGTGTATAGGGCAGAGACCTCTCGGGGTCTTTGGGGCACTGCATGCTGAGAAGGCTGTTGTCCAGCGAGCCTACCAACAGTGGCCATGGTCCCATCATCCCTCACCGCGCCCGTGGTACCCAAATCCATCTGGGGCAAGCCACTCACCTGACAGCTGGTAGCGTGGGTTCAGGACAGCGGGAAGCACATAGCGCATGGCCCCGTCGGCCTCCACCGCTAGCTCCCGCACATACTTGAGCGTGAGGGCCGCACGCGAGCCTGGGGGCAGGTTGCCCACGCTGCAGCAGAAAATATCCCCTGAAAGCGTGTCCTCCTCCAGAAGGAAGGCCTGGTGGCCCTGGCTCAGGGCATCCTCGTACTCGCTGTGGGCCTGTGGGTCAGGGGAGGATATGGGGCATCACAGGCAAGCCCTCCTGCCACCCCAGCCACGCTGAGCACCTCGCAGTAGTTAGAGGGAGCACTGCGGGAGGAGCGCGTGCCCCCAGCATGTCCCAGGCAGCGGTGTTTGCTTGAACCCCGCTAGAAAGTTCCTTGAGGAAGCAAGAGGGGTGACAGGTACACTGATTCCCTGTACCTTCTCCTTGTCACGCAGCTCCGCCACGATTGTCCTTCCGTTCACCAGGGCCTCGAAGGAGTAGACGGCGGAGTCCTCATCCATGGGGAACACGAAGAAGGCCTCCACTGGAACCGCCTCTTCATTCTCATAGTTCAGCGTGGCAGACACGTCAGCCACAAACTCCAGGATAGACACGCTCACGGCGATGCTCTTCAGTGGTACTGGGGGAGATGGGGTGCAGCTGACGTCAAGAAAGGCCCCTTGTCGCAGGGGTCAGTGAGAAGCAGGGATCAAGCTTACCTGGTTCCTGCTTCAGGGTGACAAGGCCACAGGGACAATTCATGGTGAGGTGGGTTACCGTGGAAACAGCAGATGAGCAGCAGAAGTCACTGGGGACATAAGAACATCTTGGTTCAGCACCCCGACCTCAGTTCAAAGTGGTGTCTGCCCACATGATTCTCCTCACTGCCAGAAATGCTCTGAGGGGAGGGGGCTCTAAGGGCCACTCAGTAGGGCCCAGGGTGCAGCAGCGCTTCTCAAACGGGCCACAGTTCAATGCAAGGGTCCTAGGATGCTGTGGGCACATTAGGGGCTTGGGGGTCTGTAGCCAGGATGCTCAGAGTAGCATTTCTGATGCCTGGAATCTGACTAGGAATGGTCATGTGCCAGGCATGTGCTAACCCCTGTCTGACCTCTCCTGTCCCCAAGAAATGCCATTTCTTATACTCGCGTCCCTCAAATCTGCACCAGCAAAAGGAGTTTTCTTCCTGTCTGTTTTTTCTTCTGTGCACTGGGTAAAAACTGAGCTAGCCAGTAAGTGAATGATGCTTAGAGGGCTCGCTCGGGATGGGAGATGCATACTGAAAGTAGACTATAGACCAAACATGATGGCCTCTTACTCTCTGTGTTGCAAACAATAACACCCAAAAGGAGAAAGAAAAAGAGGGAGTGTGCCTGCCACAGAGGCAGGGGGTGGGAAGGGATGGGGATGGTGGGAGGGATACTGAGAACATTGGTGGTGGAAAACAGGCACTGGTAGAGGGATGGGTGCTCGATCATTGTATGACTGAAACGTAATTATGAAAGTTCGTAAGTCTGTAACTGTACCTCACGGTGATTCATTCAAAATAGAAAAACATAAAAACTGAGCTGACCAAATCAGCTCATGTTTTGACACAGCTAGAGGGCAGCGGAGGCTGAGGGAGAGGCTGGCATCAGACGTGGGTGCCCTTCGTGTGCCAGAATATCATCGGCATCAGCTGGGAACACAGAGCAGCAGGACTGTCGGGTCCCTCACTGGGCTGCACTCCAGTGGACAAGGGCCCTGCATGGGGGTCTCCACTCCCTCATTGCAAGCCCAACTCAGGACCCTCCTCTGCATGCTGCCCTGGGGTGATGCTCTCACACACGCAGGACCTAGCAGGCAGGCAACTGTAAGATGAATTTAAAGTACCACAGAAAACTGCTGGTCTTCAATAGTTGAAAATAAATAAATAAAACCACGAAAAGGCCCAGACTTGCAACCACATTTCGAGCCTTGAATCTGATAGAGCTGGAAAAAATCCCCATTGAGACAGCAGTTCAGTAAATTCTTGAAAACCCACAGAAGGCCACTGCAGGGCTCAGCCACATGGGGGCAACAGGAGGAGCAGGCCAGCTGCCCAGGAGAAGAGGGACCCCAACAGGGAGGCCATGTGGGGGCGGTGGGATACTGGAGCTCTGAAGAAACAAGTAGAACCCTCAGGAACCGACTGTAACTGAAGTGGGCAGGGCAGACCCTGGTCTTTCTCTCTTGAAAGGTTTAGGGGCTTCACACAACAGGGCAGGGGTGCTTGAAGCATCGTTTCCCCACATAGACCGAGAAAGCAGGTATCTGAGAGCCAGGACATGCACTTGTTCTGCCTGTGGCAGCCCTGGGTTTGATCTCTGGCACCACATATGGTTCCCCCCCCCCCCCCCCAGTTTTTAGAGTGATCTTGATCACTACAGGCTGTGACCCTGCTAAAGAGGGAAAGGGAAAGAGAAAGAGAAAGCATTTATTTTTCAGGTGAAAACAAGAAGAGGGGCAGAGAGATGATCAGGCTGTGGCTGGGCTCCCCTTCCATCCTACAAGATCCCATTACTGCCATGTTTGTAGGAACCTCCAGGGTTCCTACAACTCACCAGCACCCAAATCCTTGCCCTGGAACTTGCAGTGAAAATAAGAGAGGGACAGGGCATAGTACAGTGGGTAGTGCATGCTAGTCATAGACCTGACCAGGGTTTGATTCCCGGAATCACATGGTCTCCTGCCCACCCACAACCCAGAGGAGCCCTGGGTGACACCCTGGAGATAGTGTCCCAGGCATCCTGAGCACTATAGGACCCAAAAGCGTCTCCTTCTGGGCCTTGGCACTGAACTGGAACTGCAGACCTGAGCACAGCTCGGGGTTGGGGTCAACAATCCAGCCTGGAGGGAGCAGGGAACCAACAAGGGAGGCGACCCAGCCCACATACCTTCTCCTGCAGCCACCAGCTCTGCCACAGGCAAGAGAAAACAACCAGGGTCAGCTGTTCCGGGAACACCCCACCCTTTTCTAGGGACCGACTCTAAAGTAACGACCTTGTGACTAAGGGATCGTTGAGAAATTCTGAAGTTATTGTACTTTCACTTTCCCTGCCTGAGCTGAGAACTCTCCAGCACTTCAATGTTTGCTGTCCTGCCTTTGCCCAGCCTATGCCAAGGAAGAATCAGAGCCTAGACAGGAAATGATTAGGACCTCAGCCCCCCATGCCCACCCGCAGAGAAAATGCCAAAAACGTATAAACAATAACATCAAAAACCAGCTTCTGGGGGCAGAGACCCTTGCTGAGTCCTCCATCCCTCCAAATAATACTTGGTGCTGTCATCAGGGAACCATATGGGAGTTCGCTGTAGTCCTGAGTTCTCATCTCAAAATGCTTTGACTCATTAACTCAATGTGTCCCCACAGTAAGAGAGAAAGGAAGATGATCAGGGCCATTGGCACAGAGGCCAAGTCTTCAGGGATGCCTTCACCTGGACCCGGAAATGTGAGCTCCCTTCTTGGGTGAAGTGCTAAAGGAAACTGCATTTCCTACTTGCCTTATTTCAAAGTGATCTATGAAAGCTGAGGCTTCAAAAAGCACACTGCTGTGGAGAATCTGTTTAGGGAGAAGGAGGTGGGATGTGTGAAGAGCTAGCCAGACAAGGTCTCTGCCATGGGCCCCCTGCAGCCTCCCACACTCTCTGCATCTCTGGACTTCCCTATAAAATGGGCATATTAAACACACCCATTTCCCTGGGTTCTTCTGGATTGTTTTGAGAGATGGAACTGGTGTTTTTTTTTTTTTCTTTTAGGGTGAGAGATGGGAGGATGTGAGTTTAGGCCAGAGCCGGCAGTGTTCAGCTTATTCCTGGCTCTGTGCTCAGGGGACATCCCTGCCAGTGTTCAGAGGATTTAAACATATATATATTTATATATATATATATATATATATATATATATATATACATAGTAAGGGGATCAAATTGCATACAAAACAAGCATTTTAGGCCCTGTACTCTGTCCAACCCTCACTTTGGCTTTCTTGAATTGATCTGATTATATCCTAAGAATCTGGAAAATCTTATGCCACGTAAATTTCAAAAAAAATTGAAGAGTATCAAGGAAAGAACCTTGGAGGCCAGAGTGATAGTACAGTGAGGAGGGTACTTCCCTTGCATGCAGCTGACCCAGGTTCTATTCCTGGCACCCCCTCTGCCCCTCCAGAAGTAACATCAAAAACCAGCCTTGGTCTTGAGTGCAGAGCCAGGAGTAAGCCCTGGGAACCACTGGCTGTGGCCAAAAATCTAAAAAAAATTAAAATGGTGGAGGTGCAGGGTTGGGGGTGGAGGGGTGATGCTGGAACTATAATAGGTAAATGACTCGTGCAGGTAAGGTGCTGGCCATGCACACAGTCTGCCTGTGTTCAATCGCCAGCATCCCATATGGTCCCCGAGCACCATCAGGAGTGATACATATAAATAGAGCCAGAGGCAACCCATGAGCACTGCCAGGCATTGCTCAACCACTCCCTCAAAAATTTCTTATCTGTTGTTAGATAAGAAAAATATTCTTATCTATTCTTCAGATTATAAATGTATTTTTTGTCTTATGATCTCTTTGCCCACAACTACCAGTAGTTAGAACCCCAAAAGCAACAAAACAGAAACAAAATTCTTTTTTTTAAACTTATTTTTTGGTCTCTCTCTTTTTATTTTTTTTAATTTTTATTAGTGAGACACCATGAGGTACAGTTGCAGACTTACGAAGTTTCGTGCTTGGGTTTCAATTATACAATGATCAAATACCCATCCCTCTAACAGTCCCCATTTCCCACCACCATGGATCCCAGTATCCCTCCCAGTCCCCATCCCCCCCATCTTACCCTGCCTCTGTGGCAGGGCATTCCCTTTTGTTCTCTCTCTCCTTTCAGAAACAAAAATCTTTAACTTAGAAGGAAAGGGAGAAAGAATATTGTAACACTGAAAAGAAATCCCTTTCACTCAATTTCACTAAAAGGTGTTAGAAAACATTTCTACTGCTTACAAGTGTCATGATCACCCTATATTAAACAATAAAATGTGACATTGCAATAAATATTAAGGACAATAGAACCAGACATATGGTCAATGTGAAATTTTCTCTTTCACATCGTAAACTTTGGAATTCAATGCCACACTTTCCCCATTATGTTACAATTTCTCCCACACGCAAGAGGTAAGGAAATAGGTAGAAATAACAGACTAGGTAAATAGCTGAGTCAAATCCTAAGATCCACAAAGAACAAAAGTGGTCCATGGGATGCCTACCCAGAGCATGGAAAATAGCATCCCCGGGCCTACTAGCTCACCGATTCCCAGGATATCAGAAGGAGGAAACAGCGTATATTCTCTCTCTTCTTGAACAGGCAGCACTCAGCACTCCCTCTGCTCAGGAGCTGCTTGTCCCTTTGTCCTGGGCTATATAATGGGTGTGACTTCAGAGAGAGGGCAGAATCATTCAGAATGGACTGTGACTCATTCAGAATCCTACACCAGCAGGAGATGTTCTAATTCTGCAGTCTCTGAGGAAGTCACCCCACGTGACAGGACAGAGATACGAGATTACAACAGCATCTCCGCAGTGTGTGACTATGAATGAAAAAGCACAGTGGTTAGAGACCCCAAGACCAATTCCATGAAGCTGAAAGAAGATGAGCATTGGGGATGAAGAGTTCTACAGAGTTCTGTAGAAGATCAAAGAAGAGAGAAATATTTGATTTACTTCTTAGAGTCAAGCATGACTTTTCACAAAGGAAGTGATCAGGGAAAGGCTTCCTTTTAATTTCATGTGCAGACTGGATTTCTTTAAACATTCCCTCTATAAACTAGAATGTTGAAATGCACTCACTTATTCTTCATTTCTTAATCATTAGTTCAGCACCTATCACATGCCCTGTACCACACATCGGTTCCTTACAATTAGAAACTTAGTTTTATTCCCTGATGTGGAGCAATGTAATTTTATGTCACAGAGAATACAATTACCTCTATGAAGCAGAGACTTGGAAAACACATTCTCCAGAGACTCTTGTGAAATCCCAGGAGAATGTATGAGTTTCATCTTCAACTGCATCCCTCTCTTCTTTTTTCCTAAACCAAAGCATCTCTTAAGCTTTGGTCTCCAGTCCTACATGTCCCAGATTTTCCCTGTAACCTCCATCAGGCTAAAATCAACAACTGGCATCTTCATACAGGTAACTACTTCATATGTTACCTGGATGTCTATACAGAAAATACAATACGATAAATCATATATATCAAGTATTATGTAATGCAATATTTTATGAGCAGTCCTATATATATTTAATACATATATATTAAAGACTCATGGGAAGTTAATATTAACTTGTGAGTTCAAAATATGAGTGTGCGACGCATGCGTTCGATGGCCAAGAGTCACCTCCACACTCGGCCAGCCAACAGCAATGTGCACATGAAAGAGAGCCTTTGTGCACATGACCAGCCTTCAGGTTGGATGGCCATCAGTTTATTCCAATCTCAGCACACGCCCCATATTCCAGTCTCCTTGCACGTAGTCCCACAGCCTTACTTATAGAGCAAATCCTCAGGAGTTAGGAGTAGCATTTGCACACAGGTATGGTGGCACAGTGAAGAGATGTAAAGCCCTTTCTTCAGGGGAGCTCTTCTAGGATAGAATCTCATCCTGATAGGTAGATCCACCCAAGGGCAAAATTCTGTCTAAGGGTGTAAACTTAAACTAAGGTATAAACTTTTCCTTAGTTTATAGCCATTTAAAATTTAAAAGCAAATCTTAAATTTATTTCTTAATAATATTCCTAGTCATTTTTTTAATGGATGCACTAAGAGATATATGAAGCTTAATGGGTGCCTCTTCCTGTGGACATCTCGCTATATTATCTGGGAATATTATCCCAGATAATATTCCTCAGGTCGGGTTATTCTTTCCTAACCCCAGCAGGGTCCTTATCCAGTTACTTATTTTGGGGTCATTGCAGAGTTTAATATAGTTCCATTTGTCTATCTCTGTTTTCACTTGCTTGGCCAGTGGCATGTCATCTTTGAAGATTCCGTTAGCTTCAATGTCATGAAGGGTTTTGCCAACCTTGTCTTCAATGTACCTTATAGATTCTGGTCTGATGTTAAGGTCTTTTATCCATTTTGATCTTACTTTTGTACATGGTGTTAGGCAGAGATCTGAGCCCATTTTTTTGCATGTAGTTGTCCAGTTTTTTCAGCACAATTCTGATAGAGTCTTTCCTTGCTCCACTTCACATTTTTTTGCCCCCTTATCAAGGATTAGATGATCATATGTTTGGGAGGAAGATGTCAGTATATTCAACCCTGTTCCATTGGTCTGCATCTCTGCCTTTGTTCCAGTACCATGCTGGTTTTTTGGTCTTTGGTATTTTCATTTTTTTTAAATTTTTTTTATTAAAAATTTTAATAGTGAGACATCATGAGGTACAGTTGCAGACTTACACATATTTGTGCTTGGGTTTCAATTATACAATGATCAAATACCTATCCCTCCACCAGTGCTCATTTCTCACCACCACGGATCCCAGTATCCCTTCCACCCCCATCCCCCCCATCCCACCCTGCCTCTGTGCAGGGCATTTCCTTTTGTTCTCTCTCTCTTATTGGGTGTTGTGGTTTGCAAAAAAGGCAATGGGTGACAATCATGTTTAGGCTATAGTCTACTTTCCTCATGCTTCTCCCATCCTGGGAGGATCCTCCCAACAGCTTTATTTGGTGTTCCCTTCTTTATCTGAGCTCCCTTTTCCCCTAGTATGTGTGGTTGGCCTCCAAGACATGGAATAAAATTCCTGGTAATAATTTCGGCCATTCTTGGGTGTTAGTCTCCTATTTTGTTACTTTATGTTCCCCAGATGAATGCAATCTTTCTATGTCTATCCCTTTCTTTCTGAGTCATTTCACTTAACATGATACTTTCCATGTAGTATGT